ATTATTATTATTCGCTGCTCATTATTATTATTATTCGCTGCTCATTATTTAAACTAAATATACAAACTATTTTTAGTTTTTTTTCAGTACAAAAAAAGTTTGATAATGTCCACAAATTTATCCGAATTCCCACTGATTTCTTTTCCAAAACTAAGCTTACTTTTGGGCTCAGTTCTAGCCGAGAAGTTCTCCTATTAATGCTCTGAAAAACTCTCTGTCAGAGCGTGTGCCTCTTCCATGGCTCCTCCACAAAGTACCTCCGTAGCACTTCCAACAACTACCGTACTTTTTCCAGGGTATTTTCTAGGTTTATCTCCGTGTTTTATCTCGTTCCGCTGCTTTTGGGGTTTTTGGGGTTTCCTGCGCTCCATCCCACTCGCACACTCTGCTGGCTGCTCTCTCGCACTTGCTGGGCTGCCTGTCCGCCCTGCCACTGGTTTTTCTGTTATGTTATTTATGTGGTCATAAATTTGCAGCTGAAAGCAAAGCTCCGAGAAATGGTTCGGCTGCGGGTACGGGCACGGGCACGGGTTCGGGGCACAAATAGTTGCACACAGAGAAGCAACGAAACACCCATAAATACGAGAGTCTATGTACACACAGTTATGGATAGTCACAGTCACAGTCGCAGTTCCACTCGTATTCACAGTCACTGGCACTGTCACAGTGCTGGGCCATAAGCTTTGACGCTTCGCTGCCTATGGGAGCCGAGTCCGAGTCCGAGTCCTTTCGACTTACGTGCAAATGAGCATTCGGCCCAAAGCCGCTTAAGGACATTTGGCCATGGAGATATGGACGTGGGACAAGGGGCTTAGCAACTGCGCTCCGCTGATTTTCAATGGGAATGTTCAGCCATCAGCCACAGCCCTGGGCCTGGGCCACTGTCCAGCTTCGTCCCGCGTGCCCCCCCCCCCTGCTTCCTGCGTGTGTTACATAATTTACCGTTGCTTGCAAACATTTCCGCTGAATTTGAGTCGAACACGCAACCACACTGTGCTCCAGGATATTTCTTTATAATCAGCTGGGTGTCATCATAAGGTCATCACGCAATGCCCATTGTTGCTCACATCATTCCAGCTCCAGCTCCAGCTCCTGTCCATGCTAGCTGTGTGGCTGAAAAAGTCGGTAAGTCAACCACCCCCAACCCAGAGCCAACGTTCACCGTCCACCGTCCACGCTGCCCTCCCAAATGCCATGTCCAGCTGTCGCACGGCCTTATCGTGCGCCTTGCATCGTGCATAATGTCCATGCGGCACGTCAGCGTTTCCAACACCGAGGAGCAAACGCCCGAGCGTCGCTGAGCGCTTGTAAACAAATTAGAAGCGTTTCCTGGCCGGAAGTCGAAGCGCCCAAAAAACAGACACAACAACAGCACAAAAAAATGGACAGTCAGGAGCGTCAACTTTCCCTTTTTTTTTCTCTCTCTATGCTGACTGTTCGAGCCCTGCTTTGGGTCAACATTTTGTGTGGTCGCCGAAGAATTTGTTTGTCCAGGACCGCACCTCGAAATCAGTTTGGCTTTCTGCTCCTCTTTAAGTTGCAATTAACTTTTAATGCTCTCGAAAATGGGCATTATGGCTATAGGCAAGTGTTCGGCAAGGGAAGAGCTGGAAGACAAGACGGTTTATTTAGATATGTGGAATACAGAGGCGCAAGGGACGTTCCAGGTTCCTCCATCTATGGCATATCACAGTATCAGGCAGTATTAACATTCCCATTGGTTTGTTTTTGCGTTTAATGCAGCCAGCACTAAAGTAATATTTCATTGCAGCTCTGCGAAGATTAATCCAAACTTAAAATAAATTCATTTATGCTCTGTGGAAACTCTGACGCTTCAAAGAGTATCCAAAACTTCAGCTATCAAAGTATTCCTTCTGTCTTATTGAGCCTTAAAGCTGACCAGCACAAGGAAACCCAACCCTGTCCAAGCTCTGCCTGAACCTTATGCGTTCATTGCACGCAATGTGCCCCAACACTTTTTCATTTTAATTGCCTTCTGCTGTTGCAGTGTGTGTGTGTGTGTGTGTGTGTGTGGTTTGGGTGGCCATATACCTATTTGATGGACTATGCTAAACTAATCTACACAAAACGCAGCTCCCTTGGGGGGTGGCTGGTGGCTGGTTGCTGGCTGTAGCTTTTGTTGTTGCTTTGTCATAATTTTGATTGAGAAGGTAAAATTGGTATTTTGTGATATATTGACATAGCCGTTCAACGATGTCGTCCGTCTGCTTAGTCACTTGCTCGCCCGGTTGGACTGCCTGACTGGGAACTGGCTGCCCTGTCCAGCAATTAGTGGAGTGGACAGAGTCGCATCTACATAGCAATTATGACTTATTTTTTGTTGCTGTTGCTGGAAGGGTTGATTGACGCACTTTCATTTGTGGCAAGTATCCCTCTAACCCACGGCCACTTCCCTTTTTGTGCCCCCTTCCTGTGTCTCCCCCGCACACACGCACCATTCTGTCCCATTCTTTGTGCTCAAGCACTTGGCTTCTGCTAACACCAATTTGTTCATTGCTTTTCGGGGCTTCAAATTAAAAATAATGTTTAACAAAACAGAACCAAGCAAAAAAACGAGAATAAAAAGCCAAAACAGCAGAATTCATGCATAAAGGGATGTGGATATGGACGTGGCGAGTACCCTGGAGTGGAAAAATAGATAATAAAATATTAGCAATTTATTAATTAATTCCGTAAAAATATTTGTTCAGATGAGTCTATTTTACAAGGACTAGAATAAATATGAAACAATTATAAAAATTATTCAAACCATTATTACTCGTATATTGAATAATGTCTGCATTGAAATATATTTTGTAATTAAATTACTTTCTTTTCGTAGCACACTTAAACCCATCTTATTCTTATTACTCTTACCATAGCTTTCCATATAAAATATATACTTGCTCTGCAGTCGAACCTTCCCATTTGCCCATTGAGGATATTCCAGGATATGCCTTGCATATTGTCCCCATTTGATTGTGCAACTGTTCAACGCTGTCGCATTTTATTTCAAGTTGAGTGACTTCAATCTGTCGCCAGAACGAAAGAGTCTTGAGGCCTTTTATTATTATTATCCATGTTGTCGTTGTTCGAGTTCTTTCAATTTGGCAGCAGAACAAAAAAAAAAGAACCCCTCGCCGTGGGCATCCTCCTCTGGCCCACGTGCAGGGCCAGGACAGGCCAGGCCGGGCCAGGCCAGGGGTTGTGCATATGGCAGCATTAAAAAACCCACACGTACAATGTCCAAAGAAATTAGATGTTGTCGTTGCTGCTGTTCTGTGCCACATCGTGTGACATACATAATACTGAGGCTAGGTGCAACGACGAGGACAATCGAGACAATGGACAGAGCCCGACACATGCCCAGGTCCACGTCCACGCCCACCACCACGACCACTGCTCCGCTCCGCTCCGCTCCCGTTGGGCAGGACAAAAGACGCTCGGCGATGTCTCTGTTCTGTCTCGGTCTCGACGATGCCGTCACTGATGAGTTTTGCTTTTGTTTTCGGTTCTCCATCACGCTGTTTGTCAGCCTCCCACCTCCCTCGCCCCTCACCCCACTGGAACACGCCCACAAATGATTAAGGCACATTATTTTTGTCGTTTTTAATTTGAGTTTTGGCTGGGCGGCAGGCAAAGAAATTGCCAGGTCTCCGTTTCCCTGTGTCTGGCTCCATTGTTTGCAGCACTTCAAACGTAAGAGAGAAACAAAAAAAAACACTGAAAGGTGGAACCGGGAACTGGGAACATTTCTCAGAGATTATAAAATATTACATGTTCTTTATCTGAATTAAGGAATGCCTCTAAGTGCCGATGGAAAGACAATCAAATGTCATAGGCGGTGTAGCGAGGGCGGAGGACATTTAATGGGGAAGCAGGTCTAGAAGGTGTGGAGCAATGGGTGGTAATATTTGCTCTATAACTAAGTGGGCAACTCCACAAGAAAGGAGAGCTATCTGTATGAGAGTTACTCTGCAGCGTAATGTTCAAATGAGTACCTGGCTGACTTTATTGTTTCGCTGGAGAAAACTCTTCTCTGCATACCTTTATTTACTAAAAAGAAAAATCAATGCCTTTAATCCCTTTATCTTGGTTCAGTGTCCCATTACACTGCAGTTTATCCTTAGACCTACCCCTACATTATCATTTGCCTCTCGTTTTGTGATGGAAATTATTTAGTGCAGATTAACTTTAGTCCATTTAGCAGCACTTACCCAACTTGATTTTAACTTCTTGGACGCAATAACTTTCCTGCACCATTCTCAACTAAATTTGCATTGGATTTGTTCACTTGTTTATTCCATTTATATGATTTATGATTAAGTACTGGAATTGTTTTTCCACAAAATGTTGATGTATATAAAAAATACATTAGGTTGATAATAGTTTTGTCTTCTTTTAGATGCCATTTCAAGCGTGTGTGTGTGCAGTATGCATGTGTCGATTAATTTGATAGCTGAGAATTTTGGGAGATTTCTTTCTGTTACAAGCGACAGGTTAAGGTGGGGTGTTGTGGTATGATGTGGTGAGAAGTGTTAATACTTAGCAGTGAGCATCCTATAAACTACAATGAATATATCATATATCATATATCGTATATATATATATATTTAGGCGAGTTTCCATTTTGTTTTGTGAATGTTGTGTGTATGCGAATGTGTGAGTGTGCGAGATGAGTTGAGTGAATGATTTATTAGTTAATTTAGTTTAAGATTATATAAATTATATTTAGAATATTTTGTGATCTCAATTTTTAAGTATTCCTTGTGTTGTTTTCCTTCCGTGTGTTCCATTCCATCTCTTTGCGAATGTTTCGAGTTGTTTTCCTTTTTTCCTTTTTGTTTTTTTTGTATTTTGTTTTCATTTTCTATGAAAATAATATCACGTTGCTCCCATGGGCAATGCTTGAGAATGAGTAAGGATAGTCTATATATATATATATATGTGTGTGTATAGGACATATAGTGAGAGAGATTGAGGGAGCGACGGGCACAGACTTAACCTCCTTTGAACGGCAGCTGTGAATTGCTGTAGCCAAGCACTGGATTGACTTTCTCCTTCTCCTTCTCCTTCTCCTTCTCCTTGTTCCGACTGTGTATAAGCTTGATCAAGCGATTGCGCTGGGCCACATCCGATCTGCTGTACTCATCCACGAACTGCCAAAAATAGAGCCCCACACACATAGAAGTAAAGAGCCAGGAAATAGTTGGGGGTGGGGGGCTAAACTTACTTGCAAATCAAAGTCCTTGCCAATGAGCGCTCGGGCTGCTGTATTATTGAAGCTGGCGGTGACCAGAAATGGATAAATCACTGGATTAAACTGCGTGGAGAGCTTGGCCAGATGCTTGAAGATGGGCGAATACGGCTCGGATATCAGGAGGTCCTGGTGCCGACGATTGTTCACCGTGAAGAAGGCCAGCGAGGCAATCAAATCAATTAGCATTGTTGTCCGTTCGCTGGTCTTCAGCCACGGAGTGTTTAGAACACAATTGTCCAATATTATCATCATCACATCCAGCAGCTTCAGCGACAAAGGACCCTCCACCGATAGAGCCTCCTGTGGGCACAACGAAAAGAAAAGAAAAACACATTTAATTGGCAACACAATTGAAGGGGAGGATGGACAACAACAAACAACAAAAAAATCACTGTGCAAATGTTTTAATTAAGTCAAAGCAAATATCAAAGAGTGGCACTTGTTTAGGGCAGGATATGAAGGGGCCAGCACGTCCGTTTCGACTCCTGTCCGGACTCTTGACTCGATGGTTTATTGCTATCCATCCATCCACCATATATATATTTATATCTGTATGTATGTACATTTATTTGCATAAAGGAATGAGAGGACAGCAAGAGGACGCTTCTAATTTGTTTGCCCTGCCAGACCAGGCCAAACCAATCCCAAAACCCAAGCCCAAGCCCAAACCCACACCAAAAACTCATCGCAACTCAACAACTGAAACTGGCAACTTGTACGAGCACTAAGCAAATATTTAGCCAAACAATTGACATGCCTGGCTGGCTAGAACAACGCCCGTTCTGGCAGGATATGAGCGAGCAAGGATTTTCAAGCCGGCCAATAGAGCAAAAAAAAAATGGTACTGGGCTATGAAGACTATGGCACATCCATTAAAAATATATGTGATCTCTGAGAGCTAAGAGGAAAATATTTGGGAATTTATTTCAAAATGAAAGCAGATTTTCTATAGGTCGGTAGATAATGGTGCTACATTTATTTATATCCGAAATTAGCTCTTTAAATAAAATTCATTTGATCTGTTCTTAACGAAATTTTAGGCCAACTTTCCCAGCTCTGAATCAGCTTATATCCACATTTATTATATACAAAAATATTGAAATATCAGCAGGAGTTCTTGTAGCACTAGAAATATTATTTCTATTATTATTTCAGCAGATCGATTTATATACCAATCCCCACCATTGAACCTATTCAATCAAAATTTAAAGATTTTGTGTTGAATTTTTGTGCCTGTCGCACACACCTCTGCCGGCATAACATACCCCGTGAACTGCCAACAAGTGAGAGGCATCAAAAAGCAATGAAAATTGCGTGGCCTGGGATTGGCTTGGGTTAAACTTGAAAATTTCATTTTACAAAGTCAATATTTACGCAAAAACAAGCAGCCGCAGCAGAAGCAGCAGCAGAAGAAGCGGCGGCGGCGGCGGCTCAGCGAAGAGCAGCGGCGGCACTCGAAAATTGAGTTTGCTGATTAAAACCAAATCAAATTATTTGCCAAAAGTTGTGCCAGCAGCAGCAGCAGCAGCAGCAGAGTTAAAAAACAAACCAAACCGAAGCAAACCAAACTCCCCTCGTTGTTGGAAGAAAACCTTTATCTATTTTTGTGGTAATTTAAAACAAATAGAACTGTTCAACCCACTAATCCCAGATGCAATTGGGGTGGGGTGGGGTTGGGTTGTCTGTATGAGCCATGGGGGGAGGGTAGAGGGAGAGAGATATATACAGAGCCTGAGTTTTGCGGCAAAGTTTGTCTAACAAATTAGTTTGTCAAGTGCGTAGACTTGGGCAGGCTGCACGGCTAAATATTGACACGTGCAACAAACACACACACACACACACACTACGCAGAACACACACAACGCAAAACACAGGAAATGAAATGCAGATGACAGATGGATTGGGTGGGTGGATGCGATGCAATGGGATGCGATGCCTGTCTGAGAGATTCTCTATGACTCTCCCACTTCGATATTCCGTTTCATTTGCGCGGTTTTTGGCTGCCAGGACAAATCAGGCAGACTCTTCAGCAGCAGCAGCAGCAGCAGCTCCTGTGGCTGCCAGCAGCCATAAATATTTCAGGAACGGGGGGAGGGCCAAGACGACACTCGGCAATCGGTGACACAGCAGCAGCAGCAGCTGTAGCTGTGTAGCTGTGTAGCTGTGGCTGTTGCTGTGGCTCTGACTGACATTTGCCCAAAGTAAAGTGTCAAAATATTTGCGTATTGCCACCCATCTTCTATTTTATCATGGCCCTCTATCCAGAGAGTACCGCCGCCACTGCCTCTTGTACAATTCCCCATGACTTTTCACAGGTACAGAGCCAAATGTCATCGCGGTTCAATGGCGTTTGCCTCATGTTCTGTTTGTCATTTGGCGCTGTGTTGTCTGTTAAGCAAATGTCACTCTGCCTGACTCGTATATGCATCTCTCTCTCTCTCTGTGTGTGTGTGTGTCGTCTCTTAACCCCCCCACAAAAACCACCACACACAAAATATACTATTCTCGTGGCTGTCACGACATTTGGCGATATGCAAATCACTCTGGTGAAATTTCCCAAGCAGCAGCATCAGCAATCGCAAAAGTTTTAAACGTCTGCACTAACTTTTGTTCTTGGGTTTTCTCAATTTTCGACGGGCGATTTCACGTTCGACAAAGTTTACAAGTGCAAAGCAAAGAAAAGCCAAAACGCACACACAACGCCGCTCCAACAACAACAACAATAGCAACAACAGCAACTGCTCCAACGGCAGAAAAAATAAAAAAAACGAAAAGGAAAAAAATTCTAATGAAATTTTCGCTGCGCTTCGCTGCTTGAGCAGGAAAGACACAAGGCGCAGACAGCGGGCACAGTGGTTCGGGCATAGGCAGAAATGTCTATACAATAAATTCAATCAAAGATTATACTATAATAAAAAGATTAAAGACAAAATAGAACTGATAATTCAAGCAGGTTTAACGAAGAGAATGAGAGGGTAAGCTGAAGCAAAAGGAGGAGGGAGCATGATGCACTTTTTTCTATATGGAAAAAAATCTTTAAAAAAATAAACTCTGACTCTAGTCAGGCTCTCATGTTGGAAATTTCCATTTAATATTAATTAATTATAATTAATAAATTATAATTAAAATTAATTATACTTCTTTTGAAAAAATATTCACGATGGGTTTTGTATATAAAGTTGTTGCATCATGAATGTAAAAAGAAATAAATAAATAAGCCATGAATTGAATCACTGAAAATATTATTCAAATCTATTTTTATACTTTCCGAATAGTCTACACATCCTAAGCATCGCATCAAATTATGAGTTATTTTCCCCCACTAGAAATTTTAATCTTTAATCCCAAGCATCGAATTATGAGTTATTTTGCCTCTATTAATTTCAATCTTCTTTTCTTATTGCAAAATCTATAGCAATGCAAAAAATGTAATTCCTAAAAACATATATACTCGCACCACTGTGCCGGCAGGGCGGGCCGCTTTGGGTTAAGGGCTGACTGACTTTTTGATTTGTTTAAACGACGGCGTGCGACGCTCGTACTGCGTACTCCGCAGTTCGACGTTTGCCGTTCAAAGTCCTCCAACTGCAACGCCAGCTACGATGCTTCGATGCTGTTGCTGGACGGGTGGAAAGGTAAACGACTCTCGACTCTCGACTCACCTGAAAAGTGTGCACATCCAGTGCGGCCAGGGACACGTAAAGATTAAACGTTGCTGCCGCCAGGGCGGTCGTGCGCGATGGAATGCAATCACCTGCAAAAATGAGAAAACGAAAACATTTCAAACAAAATCCAACAGCAACAACAACAACAACAAAATGTGGAAAAAAATTGTTAAAGAAAAGTGGCTGGGGATGAGCAGAGATAGCGGGCGGATATTCCCTCATAAAACATTAGAGTTTCCCAGCAAACGAGCAGCAAAATCAAAACTAATTTCCGCTCCGGCCTGGACATCACGTTACGGGGGGCTTGTTGTTGTCGTTGTCGTTGTTGTTGTTGTTGTGTCCGTGTAAAGTGCATTGAAATGTAATTAGCACTTTGGTGCGCGCAGGCCAGAGAGCCCTTCCGTTCGAGCTACTGTTTGGTGGTGGTGGTGTTGGAATCTTACCAATTGGCACAACGCTGCCACTGAGCATGGCCACTGTGCCGAAGAGTTCCGTGCTCCTGGCGGCACTCAGCAGACGTGTGGGATCGGCCGGACCTGCATAAAGGAAGGAACCAGATTGGGAGTTGAGTTATTTACCATCCATCCAACCAGGTGCGAACTAACTGCTGTGCATGACTCACCCGGCTGACAGAAATCAATGAAACGACTGATGAAGCCGATCGAGGTCAACAGGTTCAGCATGACGCCGTGATTCTGTTCGATGGACTCACGCACCTTCTGATTGCGACGCGACAGGATGTCGATGAGGCCGGTGATCACCGCATAGCTGCAGGGAATACAAAAAATGTTAGAGATTGTTAGAGAAATCACCAGCAGTTTTTAGACTTTTGGGCAGCTAAAGCAGCTAAGGAATATTCAAATAATCTTTCAGAATTATAAGTAAAAAGAATCCTAAACTAAAAATAAATATATTTTATTTGTTCCTGGAGCAATTTTCAATAATACTCTCAAAATATGGAAAATTATTTCCACAAATTTAATAATACAACATTTAATATTATAAAATTGAATAGTATAAAACTTAATATTATAAAATTTAATAATATAAAATTGATTATTATAAATTTGAATAATACAAAATTTAATATTATAAAATTTAATAATATAAAATTTAATAATATAAAATTCAACAATACAAAATTTAATATTATAAAATTGAATAATATAAAATTTAATAATATAAAATTCAATAATACAAAATTCAATTATACAAAATTTAATAATATAAAATTTAATAATAATAATATAACTTTTTTTTTTTTGAGGCAAACTAATTAATATTCCTCCCAACATTTTGCACAACTCAATCCGAAAGCCATAAAAATACACACTGGAAAATCTTTGCACATTTGTTCTATGTGCACACGAGAAGGAAGGCCGGGCCGATTGAAAGCCCCGACAATGGCTATATAATTCTTTCATATGCTAATCAGGAGCACGCGTCTAGCATTAAAAACCGATTAGCAAAAGATTTTTCATTCGTTCATAAAATGCTGCTAAATGTTTGTAAGCAAATACGAATGGGCAAATGCCCCTCCCTGCCACCACACCCCTCCCCTAATGACAGAGCAATGTGATTTAAAATGAGAGAATTTTGAATGTGAATGTGAAATGGGATAAAAAGAAGCTTTCGAATGCGAGAGAACTGTGACATGGCATGCATTGAAGAGCTTTTTGTTTTCAGCTTCAAGAGTCCTTGTGGCCTTTCGATTTCTTTCAACTGCGAGAGAGAGAGAGAGAGAGGGAGAGGGCGAGAGAGAGAGGGAGATTGTGTGTGTGTGTGTGGGGGAAATTTGTTGTGCAAATATATTTGAAAATGTTTTGATTTCAATTAAGCGAATTCTGATTACAAACACTAAAAATATCACACACACACACACACACACACACACACAAATGGAGCACAAATAATGCTACGCTCCGCTCAGCTCTCTCCCTCCCAGAGAGAGGTCTCCATTCGTGTGTGATTTATCATAATAAATGAAGGAGTCCATGGCCATCAATGTTTACAATATAAATGAATGGCATACAGATTTCTGCTATTTAAGTGGAGTCCCATAAACATATACGGGGATCTCTTGAAATGAGTGATTGATATGCCAGGACAATGCCAGGGGCGACCAGGGGAGCTCCCTCGCAGGCGAGGAGCAGAGCAGCAAGCGTCGAAAAGCAAACAAGAGCAGAGCAAAAATTTTTATATGGCCGAAAAATCCATTTTGACCCCTTTTGACACAGCCAAAAGTCCTGTTCACAAATAAAAGCGTCCATTACTCAAACGCAGACACACACACACACACACACACACACACACACATAGAGAGAGGACACACACAGGACAGGACAGGACAGGACATGCTGAAGAGTAGAGCAGAGTGAGACTGCCATATCACACATGGGAGCAGGACAAACAAAGCCCGGGAAGGACTACGTGCCTTTGCCCGGATGAGTCGCAACCCCGAGCACCGAGCCCCGACCCACAACCTCGTACTCGTACTCGTACTCCGACTCCGACTCTGGCATTTCTGGCGTTGTCAACTGTAAACATACTTGAGCTTCCTGTTTTGCTATTTGTGCTCCACATCGCACACAGGACACTTAGCGGCGCACACAGGACGCAGGACACAGGGAGAGCAGAGCAGCGCTGAGCAGAGCAGCGAACCCACATGATGTTTGCTCTCCTGGTTGGTCAAAACTCGGGGAAGGACAAAAAGTACTCGGCAAACTCATCAGCACCACAAAAATATCCTTAATAATTTTCTTAAACCAACAAGCACCAAAGCTAGCAACGCCATGAAGGATGCTTTTACCCCAACCACCCCCCACCAGCACACACTCTGCGCTGTCCTGTCCACATCTCTCGCTGTGTGTGTGTGTGTGTGTGTTTTTCCTGCTCCTGCCCCCCGCCCTGTGAACTGTCATCGTTTGTCATGTGTCCTGGCTCTGCGGCTCTGGCTCTGTGGCAGGACGCAGGACGCTTGTGCCAAGTATTTAGTTCGTTGGTCGCATCAATCCAAACACAAAATGGCCAACACCCCGGCCGGCGAGCGTATCGGATGTGGCTGAGGTTTCCCTCGCTCACTCCCCACCAGACGACGGCCGCTGCTGTCCGGGAACCCTGGTCCGGGCTTGGGACATAATCGTCACTGCCGTAAAATAAACAGCAGCCAAAAGCAGCAGCAGCAGTAGCAGCAGCAACGATGGCGACGAAATAAAAATAAAACAGCACATGATATATGGCCAAGAGCCGGAGCTGTAGATACCCTTACAGAATGCTTGATTCTAGCTAACATATAAGACCAAAAATGCGCTCATTCTGATGCTGATTATATTGTTGCAGCAGCTATGAAAATACAGGGATACAGGGACTGATGTTAGATCGTCTACAAAAATAAAGAAAGAATTTCCTACAAAGTAGCATTGATATTTAAATGATTTTTTCTACGCTAACTCATGATGTGTGGTGGACAAATATTAGTGTATGGTGTAAATGTGTAAAGTAAAGTGTGTAAAGTGGTGTAAGGTGTAGTAGATATTAGTGGTCTAATTTCGATTGAATTTGAATTAATTTATGTACAATTATATGGAAATAACTTGGAGAATTTTGGTTAAAAAATATCTCGTGACTGCCAAAGCTGACTTCACTTAGATCGCATTAATATCCATAGGTCCAGTGTGAATCATTTAATTAATTTAATTTTAATTTATTTTCTGTGCCCCGTGGCAAACTTCTCAACAGAATCAGAAATACTCTGTCTCTCTTTCACAGGGCATAATAAAATGCAGACGTGGACGAGGTTTTCTGGGTGTGAAAAGGCATTTGGTGGCAAGCTGGAAATAAAAATAAGGACGCAAAATAAAAAAAAGGAGCAGAAGCAGAATTAACATCCTTGTTAGTTGTGAAAACACGTTCGCTAAATACGCGACAGTTGCAACATTCTACCCCCCAAAGGACCTCCCTCGAGTGGACTGCTGTTCGAGCTGTGCTGTGTGTGCTGTGCTGCGTGTGTGTGTGTTGGGTGTGTGTTTGAGGCAGGCGCAAATATTTTAACAAGTGTCAAATGCACACGCTACTTAACTCGTCCTCGTCCTGGGGCGCAGCATCCACTGCTTCACACAATTGTTTAATAAACAAAATAGTAACAATTGCTAGAAGGAAGAAAAAAGCACCAAAAAAAAAAAATAGAAAATCCACCACTTTTGGCAGACCCTTGCAGTGCTGCAGCAAAATGTCCTTTTACTGTGCTTGTAATTTGGGCATTTGTGTGCATTGATTTCGGCACTTAAGGCGCATAATCAGGATGCTGGGACACGGCACACACGAACAGGAACAAGAACAGGAGCCACATCGAGACATCAGCGGATTTGCGTGTGTTCCGACAACAAGGAGCACAGTTCGCTGAACAACAATAGAGAGACACAGCCACAGCGAGAGAGAGAGAGAGAGAGGGAGAGAGAGGCAGCCAGGCAGGCAGGCAGCATCAACTCAAGGACCAATGGCATGCATTTCGGGTTCGCCTCGCATAAGCAGGATTAAAATCAAAACAGATTTACGTTGACAATGACGACACGGCCAACGCTGGCAGCGGCAGGGACACGGACACGGACATGGACATGGACACGGCCCCGGAGACAGCCCAGGACATGTTAATGTTGATGCCACGGCAGAGGTTAAACAGGACACTAAGCTCCCCACCCTCCCTCGCTCCCTGCCGTTCATCTCTGGACCCATCTCCAGCTACAAGCTACAAGCTGCAAGCTACAACTGTTCCATGTCCTGTGTGCCGTCCTGTTGATATGTGAAATGAAACACCTTGCCACGAGAGCAAATGAAATGTCATTTGGCTGTTGATTACTCGAGCCAGCGAGTCCAGCTACCAGGAGGTGGAGTACACTAAGTATATATCCTGCAGGAGGAGGGTTCATGAATTTAAATCGTTTTCAAATGATATGACACATGGCATGGTTCTGGTTCTGCTTCTGCTACTGCTTCGAGTACTGCTTCGTGTACTGCTTCGAGTACTGCTTCGAGTACTGCTTCGTGTACTGCTTCGAGTACTGCTTGGGTTCTGCTTTTGTCTGTCTGTCTGTCCGGTCCCTGATTTACCCCGTTTTGGAGGAAGCGGCATTTCGGTTTGCCTTTGACCGCTTCAGGCGCTTAACAAGTGCGGGTTGTCTCTGCATCACACACGGAAAGGAAAGGCAGGGAAAGGAAAGGCAGGGAAAGGGGATGGCAGGCAGAACAGGACAGGAACAAAGGTACGATGATACACCCAAACAGGCGACATATGAACACTAACGACAAGAAAATGGGCGAATGATTGAGGCTTATTGGCAGTCAGAATTTCGGGGAAGGGAATCAGAATTGCGCTGCAGGCAATAAAGGGACATTTGGGCAGGCGGAGTTGCTATGGCGCCTTAATGTAATTCATTGCAAATAAAGCAAATGATAGATCAAAAAAAGAGTATCAATAGATATATGTAGGTAGTATGGATAAAGCAATAGCTTTAGCTATAGTAATGGCTACTTTAACGGTCAAATCTGCCAAGTTACTGACTGGAAATTATTCAGTTAGTTAGATGCCAGCTAAAACTCTCTCCAAAGAATATTTACAAAAATTTTGCTAAAAGGAAACTCATTTTCCCAGCAAAATTAATCTCTAAGCAACTCCGTAGCCCTGTCCTGTGTGGACACCATTTAACCCCAACATTTTATGTGTGTGTTTTCTCAACATAAAATCTGCTTAGCAGCTTTCGCCAGCAGTAATT